CCACCCTCTTCCCCCTCCCTCCCTCCCTCTCCTTCCTCCTCCACCTCCATTTCCTCCACCTCCACCTCCTCCTCCTTCCCTCCCTTTTCCCCCTCCCTCGCTCTTCCTCCCTCCCTCCCCTCCCCTCCAGGTCTGGTCCGTGCCACCAACATCGTGGTGAGTGACTCGAGCCCCCTGGCCCTCCAGAGCCTGCAGCAGCTGGGCGTGCGCACCACACAGAGCAACAAGGAGGTGGTGGCCGACAGCGAGCTGGTGGTGGTGGCGGTCAAGCCCAACGTGGTCAAGAAGGTGCTGGAGGAGGTGTCGCCGGAGGTCAGCACGGACAAGCAGGTGTTCGTGTCCATAGCGGCCGGAGTGACCATCAGCTCGTTAGAACAGGTGAGTCATGAGTCGCTCGGACCGTCGATTAGATGATGGAGTGGTCTTTCTTGTTGTTTAGTTTTAATAGAGGTTTTACAGCGCTCGCAACTGCATAAGGTCATATGAGCGCCAATCTTTCTTCTAGTTGTTGTGGTCATTGTTATTGTGATCACCATCAGCTCCCCACCAGAGCAGTGCTACTGACTGAAGTTGTCTTTAGGCCATTCTCAAAGGGGGGATGTTAACATATTCTTATGCATTGTAGAATTGTAAATGGGCTGATTTATCAATGCCATGCTCATACAGTACCGGAACAACTTTGGGGGAACTGCTGCTTTTTCTTTCCTCATCCTCACTATCGTAATTTTTCCTCTCCTTCTTTTGTTTTCACCATTACGCCCCTTCCACTATCCCACCATTTCACCATCCCACCAGTCCACCATTTCACCATTCCATTACTTCACCTTACCACCATCCCACCATCTCACCACGCCATCATCCCACAAATCCACCGTCTGACCATTCCACCATCCCGCCATTTCACCATCCCACCATCTTACCTTCTCACCGTCTATATCCCCCCTACTGCCATTTTATCCCCACCATCTCGCCACCCCATCATCCCACCAATCCACCATCCCACCATTCACCCATCTCACCATCTATCTATATCTCTCCCCTATCCTCCTTCCGCCTCTTAAATAACCTAATATTGTTGATAAGGGCGTTAAATCTATACCATTTCATTTCATGTTTCCTCCCTCTCCCCCCCCCCCCTCATCCCCAGGTCCTCCCACAAGGCACTCGAGTGATCCGCGTGATGCCCAACACACCGTCCCTGGTGCAGGCCGGCGCCTCCGTGCTCAGCCCGGGCTCGAACGCGCGCCGCGGCGACCCTGAGGTTGTGCGCACGCTCCTGGGCTCGGTGGGCTTGTGTGAGGAGGGGGCAGAGTCTCTCCTGGACGCCGTCACGGGCCTCAGCGGCAGTGGACCCGCCTACGTGAGTGTGGTTTCGAAATAGAATTTAATTATAGATTCCATTGTACATTTTTATTGATCCCAAAAAGGCAATTTGGTTTACCATGGCAAACATACATACATAAACACATACATAAATGCATAATTATAAATACATACAATGCATAAATACATACATGTATACCTACATAAATACATGATTATAAATGAATACATACACATAATACATACGTAAATACATAATTCTACTTAAATATCAGTGACCACCCATCTGATCTCCGTGTCATGGACACTTGCTTGACTTTACTCTAGAGTCTAAACTCACCTCTCACTTAGCCACTACATTTTGTGTGAATTTGTTCAACATGTTTTAGTAAAATCCACGCAGTAATTTCAATGGACTGAAAGGTGTCGAGACCCAAAAAAAAGATTTGA